CCAAATGCACAAAAAGCTATGGTAGCTATTAATGGGTTCAGGTGTGACGTATATCTTGTAATGTGTATAATTTTCAGTGCATCATAATATATATTGTGGAACACCACAATGGATTTCTGATCACACTATCATTGAATGCTTCCTAATAACATCAGGCATTATAATTTTGTGGCATGTCATTGTCTTATTTTATAAAGGTCATGTTATTTTTTTCAATAGTATGTGGCAGAATTTGAGATGAAGATGATTATATCAAGCATATTAGTCATACTTCCTTTACCTTGTAAAGGTTGTTACTAGGAGAGAAGTCGTACCGAAGTCAACTTTTATAATATTTCTTTAATGCAAACTCTAAAACCACCAAGTGAGTGGATGTAACAGCTGCCTTTGTTTCAATTATCTGTGACTATCCCTTTGTTGAATACCTTGGCAGGTGCTGGCTGTGTTTAAACTGTTGTGCAAAACTGGTATGATCCAGGAGAGCGCTCCATTCATACAAAACTCCCATCACTGGGGAGATGGATCACAAAGGCAATTTGGCTCATCAAATCCATTCTTTCCACAGTCTCTGTGCAACCTGTATTGCAATCCATTGTATCTCCTCGAGAAAAGTATGTAATATTTATCCTGATCTCTTAATGATTAGCTGAGTGCAGCTGCAAAAACATCTGTCAAACCTTGCATCCTATATCATCCGCATGAATTTATCATGGTCCCAGCAGCTGACGAACCATCATCTTCCATAGATTTCGGTTATCTTCACCTGTATTTTTCAAAACCTTTATTCTTCTTTCTAGTTCAATACTCACCCAGTTCTTTTTTTAAAAAGGTATGCAATAGTTCTACTGAATTTATCTTGGATTCTATTCCACATATTCAGTGAATGTGTACCTACAAACTACACATTCCCTGCACTACACTTCACAGTAAATCCAGTGAAGCACTTTGCGACGTTTACCTGATACGAAATTGCTATATCAAAGGCAACAATTATTATTATGATTTCACTGGGCATAAGGAATCCTTCTAAACTCAATTCAGTCAAGATCCAGCCATCAATTTCTACTGTCCTGAGAATGAATCAATTCTGGACAAACCTGTCCCAGAAGTGAGCTTACTGTGTGGGAGGAACTGATTGAGAGCTCGCAATTTTAGTACACACATTCTCGAAATTAAATGTTGGATTTAGGCAGATGTTGATTGTGTTCTAAGATCCTACACATTGCCATTATGGTTATCTGCAGGTTCAGCCCAGGATGCTCTAAGTTAATGTTAACGAATACAAGCCCTAAAACTCTGGACTCCGACATTGGATGATGATGATGAATATTGGAGAAGTCTTTATATTCACCTTTAGCTTGGGATTCAGCTGTAAAGAACTGTTTTCATTCGGGGTTCTCTGAACCCTAACTGAATGTAACTGGTCCGCTGCTCATACAAATGTCTGGCCGAGGTCTAATTGTATGACAGGGGATTATTATTGCAAGTGCGTGGGCTGACCTGTGTGGTTTCCAGCTGAAATGTATGGTAGATGCAGATCAGGTATTTATACTAGTCTGACATGAGTCTTCTACTTCACAGTTCCAGACAAACCCAGCTGTGTTTTTGCTGCAGGTCACAGTCACAGGTTTCCGTGCAAGCAAATCTAATCTTGACCAGCTGCACTTGAACTTCTCGTGGGAATTTTTAGCCACAGAGTAAATGGAAGAGGGGTAGTCGGTGCCTTTTACCCGAATTACTTCAAAATCTAGGAGTGGGGGAAAAAAGATATTCAATATAGGTATGAGATAGTTATCCTGGTCTGAGCTCATGGATATCTTATCAAGCACATACTAGCTTCTGAAAGTGCAGCTTCGCTTGTCTCTGAGGAAAAGAGGGGAACCAGGATTTGTGGGTCTTGTTTTACACTCTTGAAGGACATGAAGGCTTTTTTACTGGATTCATATCTGTTGCTATTCAATTGACTGTATTTAAACGTTAGTTACTGAATTCCTTGAAATTCTTTCGGTCTGCAAAATTCAATAAGATCACGGAGCCTGAATAGGTGTTGGACAGAGCAGGATTCACACTATTGTGTAGGTGGCTACAGTCACCCATCTTACCTCAACGATTGAAATTCTTTTACATCTTTTTTTTAAATCTGTGCACGTTTCTTTATCAAAACCTGCATTATATCCACATTACTATCTGTCAAAACCAATCTCTGTAATGTGCTAAAAACAGAAATCAAATGAACAAAACTTAATTTGCTGAAATCCATGAATACAACTGTAATCTAATTCATGCAAATTAATCATCTTGTTATTATAATATCCCTTGCATGTGATATAGCATCTTTAATGTCTTCAAGGACTTCTTCACAGGTAATTGCTGTCAAGTATAATGAGTGTATATTTTTAGGCAAACACAGTAACCGACAATAAGGTCCTACAACCAACCATTCGGTGAATGACCAATTTTTTGTTTTGGAGAATTGTTGGCTGGGATACAAGAAAAAAATAGCCTTTGGTTTCAAGCAGTGTCTGGGTGGGATCTTTAACATACCCCTGAACAGGCAGACAGGACCTTGGTTTAATGTCTCATCTGAAGGATAGCACCTCGGACATATACAGCACTTCCCAGTATACTGTAGTGGAGTGTTGCCTAGACTACAGAGATACCTGATTCTAGCATGGTCAGCTTGGTTCAATGTTTCAGAGACCTGGTGATCCAGATGTCAGCTATTGTTTATTGCAGCAAGCAAGCTACTCAGCCAGGGATCTCTGTTCGTGATCAGGAGCTCTGGTCTCTGGGCTAAGTTTCCCTCCCTAACCCGGGGGAGCTGAGATCAATGATCAGTGGCACCCCAATCATAGTGAGGAATTCAAAGCTTTGTTTAAACAAACTTTTACTGCATATTATTTCAAATGTCTTCATTTACTTCAAGCAGAGGGATCCAAATTATGTGAATGTCACTGTCCAGCCATTGGTGCAAGGTGTGCTATAAATGCAAGTTGTGGTTGTTGAATAGCACATTAAGACTCAACAGTAAGATCACTTTGACATACAATAACTATGATTGTAATTCTATTGCTATAAGCTATTGCTGTGTAAACCTGGATGGAAAGATTTGAGGCATTTCATAGGAACCTTCTAATGGATTCAGAAATCTCAACCGCCTCTATTATACATACAAGCTATTATACATACAAGGAGTCCTGTAGCTCAGTGGTTAGAGCACTCGCTTTGCAAGCGAGAGACCTGAGTTCAATTCCAGGCAGAGGGCGAAACCTTGGGCAAGTTTCCTTACTCCACACAGAGCCTAATAATAATCCCTCCAAAACCAAAAACAATAATAAAAAAATTGGCATTTTCAATCTACGACTGTTTGTGGGACATTGCTGTGCGCAATTGGCTGCCGCGTTCGCCCACAAATTTACAGTCAATTCACTTTACAGTGTGTTCTGTGAAGCGCTTTGGGACGTCCTTCCGACGTGAAAAGCGCTATATCAAATGCAAGGATTATTAAGCTGAAGGATGTCCTGCTGAACACAAGTCCTGAGAGAATAGAAAGTGCTGAGAATGCTTTTCAAAAGTAGCTAGGTGTAGAGTTTCTATAAGGCTTGTTGGTGCTCAGGACCCACGTGATTAACGCCCCTGGCCCCCACCCCGACCCATCCACCTGCAGTAAATGTATGGCTTACAAAATCAAAATCCAAGAAAATATTTCTTTAATTACCTTCTTCACAGAAGATAAAATGCGTGAACATGCGTGCCAAGGTCAGAACACTCAGCACAGTGAGATTATTTTTGTTGGAGAGAACGGTGAAGCTCTCGTCAGAGTCAGTGAACTGAATTGAGTTGAGGTTTAATTTGCACAGTGAGACGCACAGGAACAGGTCATGCAGTTTTTTTTTTGCACAACGAACAGCGAGTCTCAGTGAAAAAGTTACGATTTGGCGAGTACAGCATGTATGGAAAGAGAGAGCAGTTCTTTACCTCAAGCACGGCAGCCGTGGTGGATCTCTGCCAAAAGGCTCAGCCATCCATGCAAGTTTCCCATCCCTTCATAGCTGCCTAGGTTTCTTAGACAAATAATAATGTACACAGATTATGGAGTGTTATAAGATTTATTTAAACACATTTTGAAATTACAGTACTTGTTTTTAGGCATCAGCCTGGCTCAGTTAGTAGCATTCTTGCCTCTGAGTCAGAAGGATGTGGGTTCAAGTCCCACAATAGACCTGAGTCCACAGTTAATCAATGCTGACCCTCCAATGCAGTGCTGGAGGTGTGCTGCATTGTCAGAGGTGCCGTACTTTGAATGAGACGTTAAACCAAGATCTTGTCTGAATGTTCAGGTGGACGTCAAAGATCCTGTGGCACTAATCAAAATGAGATGGGAGCTTCTCCTAGTGTCCTGGCCAACAATCTCCCAGATAGAATTGGCCATTCACTTCATGGCTGTTTGTGGGATATTGCTGTGCAAAAATTGATTGCCACATTAACCCACAAAATACAGTCACTACATTTTATAATAAATGTTGTGAAGAACTTTGAGACTTCCCCCTGACATGAAAGGTGCTATGTCAAATGCAAGGATTATTCTTATTCCAGGTTACATATGTCCTATACCTCCACATATTCCTTGATATTCTCTGAATAGCCGAACTCAACATCAGCGTATGATAGATTTAATGAGGTGATATATTGATTGACAGGCTTACAATTATAGTTTTTCCTTTTTGAAATGTCTGTCAGACGTGCTGCGAGCATATTTAAATGACTATTTCGGTAAAAGACTATTGATCACAATCAGAATGGAGTCAGGAATCATGGCAAACCTCCAGGTTTAATCTTTTAAAGCTTCTTAACAGAAGAAAGTTATGCATATAGATATTTGGAAGATCGCTTTAAGACGGGGAGAAAAAGGGAAAGCTGGCACTATATTGGGTGAATTATCACCAAATCCGTGAGCTAACCAACACTTGGAACTTATTCAGGTTTATTGTGTCTTGTAGGTGGAGATCGTGATCGGATGACTGCCAATCATGAGACATACCTCCTCATGGCCAGTACTCAGAATGATATGGAAGACTGGGTGAAGACTATTCGCAGAGTGATATGGGCTCCCTTTGGTGGAGGTAAGATGAGAGTTTGGGCTACAGTTCTACACTGATATGTTTTAATTTCTAGCTGCTTACGGTAGGATTTTCTTACTGCTTTTGGACTTTTAGTGGTATTAATGGGACACAATAGCCCAAGAGGAGGGGCACCAAGTTCAAAGCGCCTTCAATTACATTACTTTCCCTGAGACTCGCCCAATATGGTAGTTCAGGACTGGAGTAATATTGTGCTGGCCCCAGTGTAACATCCCAACTCAACACAAGCAGTGCAGAAATCACATTGGGGTCTAATCTGTAATATTTGCAATATTATTAATAAATGCAAAATTGTTGCATTTATTCCAGAATTTGGATTGTGAAAGACGTGTGTTAATAATGTGTTGTGTTTTGCTCTCTAGCTTTTTCAGACTTTACTGATGTGTAGTTTGGGATTTGCCATCTGCAAATTTGACAAAACAGATGTCACAACAGAGATGTTGCAATTGGTGTCCATTTTGAGAATATCACACACTGTAGATGAAAAATTTACCGATTGTTACACCTTGTGTGTATATGGTCAGTCTGCATAATGTGGATACGATTCTGTACTGCATAGCTTTAAAGTAAGGAAATAATGGTTGTCCTTCATATCTGAAGATGGCCGTTCACACAATGTGAACACTTGGGTGCATAATATATATGTGGTCATTCTGTGTAACTTGTACATGGTCAGTTTCTATAATGTGTACATGGTCTCCTTTGACACTCGCATTGAAGTGTGCAACTGCACATTTACAGGCACAGACATTTCAGAGACCAGTCTCTATGATCCAGTTGTGAGACTAAGAAGCCATTATTCAGTTTTCCTGACTCGCTCCAGTGGGTTACACCTAAGAAAGCCACTGGACGCTTCTGCCCCATTTACTGATACTTGTTTCAGTTTCCAAAAGCATAAGAACTGACTTTAGCAGTGGGTGACAGGAAACCTAGCACTGTGAGGTACAGAGCCTCACAATGTAATGACTGTATTGTAGAATATACAGTCTACGGACAATGTAGTCAATATCCCTTGCAATACAATACAAAATTATATTTGTAAAGTGCCTTTCATGTCGGGAAGACGTCCCAAGGCACTGAACAGTCAGGGATTAGGACTCAAGCAGGTGAGTTGGGGGGGTGGGGGGTAGGCAGGGGTTGTGATCAGGGAGAGTGGAGGACAGAGAGGGTAGCGGAGTGGCCGAAGGCATGTTCGAAGAGGAGAGTCTTGATACGTGCTTTGAAGGAGGCAAGGGAGGAGCAAGACAAGGGGACTGCGGGATGGAGTTCCAAAAGGTGGGGGCAGAGAAGCTGAATGGTGGGGCCAGGCTGGGCCAGGCCGGGCGGGGGATATGGAGCAGTCTGGAGCTTGCTGAGCGGAGGGAGCGGATAGGTTGAGGTGAGGAGGCGCTGACAGGAGCCAATCAGGAGAGCCTCGGTCTTGTTGACGTTCAACTGAAGAAAGTTTGCTCTCATCCAGGACTTGATGTCTGACAGACATTCTGTCAGGACAGCAGTAGTCCTGGAGTCAAGGGTGGAGACAGAGAGGTAGAGTTGGGTGTCATCTGCATAAATATGGAAGTTGACCCTATAATCTGGGGATGAGGTCACCAAGAGACTAGGCCTATATTCTCTAGAATATAGAAGAATTGGAAGTGATCTTACAGAAACCTAAAAGATTCTTAAGGGTCTTGACAAGGTAGACAGTGTGAGATTGTTTCCCCTGGTTAGAGAATTGAAAACTAGAGATCATAGTCTCAGGATTAAAGGTCAGCCCTTTAAAACTGAGTTGAGAAAACATTTCTTCACTCAGAGGGTATTGAATTTATGGAATTCTCTACCCCAGAAGGATGTGGATGCTCAGTCATTGAACATATTCAAGACTGAGATCGATAGATTTTTAAAAACTAAAGGGATTAAGGGATATGGGGATAGGGCGGGTAAATGGAACTTGGTTAGATCAGCCATGATCTTATTAAATGGCGAGGCAGGCTCGAGGGGCCGAATGGCCTACTCCTGCTCCTGTTTCTTATGTTCTTATTTTCTTATAAATGTGTGGATGAGGGTTTCAGTGGCCTGAGTGTAGAGGCAGTGGCAGAGCCAGGTGGCGTTGCACAGGTGGAGGAAAGCAGAGTGGGTCATGGCACGGATGTGGGGTAGAAAGGATAGTTGAGGGTCAAACAAGATGCCAAGTTTTTGGACTGGCTCAGTAAGGTGGAGTGTGCATGCATGGATGGTGATGCTGCCAGTGCCTGAGGTGTAGATGCGCTGACGGGAGCCAATCAGGAGAGCCTCGTTCTTGTTGACGTTCAACTAGAAAGTTAGTTCTCATCCAGGACTTGATGTCTGACAGACAATGGTCCTGGAGTCGAGGGTGGAGGCAGCGAGATAGAGTTGGGTGTCATTCGCATACATGTGGAAGTTGACCCCATGTCTGCAGATGATTTCACCAAGAGTGAGCATGTAGATATTGAAGAGGAGAGGACCAAGGACAGGGCCCTAAGGAACGCTGCACGATGATGGGAGAAGCTGTTTTTGGAGACAAAGTGGAGATGGTGTGAAAGGTAGGATCTGAACCAGTCTAGGACAGAACCATGAAGATTGAGGTGAGAGGAATCCTGGGTGTGTGAATTTGTTGATAATGTAGAAGCTGTGACCGCACAGTAATCACACTCTTAGCTAGCAAACAGTGTAACCTGGTGTCAAGGAATATCCGAGAAGACCAGCCCACTTGATAACCACACTGGTAGAAACCATTCCCTCCGGAAAGTGATCTACCAATCAACTTATCAAATAGGTTCCGATTTACTACTAGGGAAACAGAGGCATTTGGATTAGGGAAACTTGCTTAAGGTTTTGCCCCGCTGGGAATTGAACCTGGGTCCTCTCACTTGCGAGGCGAGCAAGCTAACCACTACGCTATGTGACTCACAAGTACAGTACAGAAATTCATCTCTGTAGACAACACAGCTTTACAGTGGAGAAAATGCACCTCTATGGAGTAAACAGCCTCAGAGTGCAGAGAGTGACTACTGTAGCATTGGACAGCCTTATAATGTTGCAACGTTGATTTAATTAATTCACAATAATAATTTCATGTGGCCTTGGGGCATGATCTTTGCAGAATGGCCCCTTTCCAGTTGCAGCAAACTTTATTAGCCTGTAAGCTGTGCTGAATGAATTCCTTCTGTAATTATGCCAGTAGTCATTGAATATTAATCTCTGATGGATGTTAGATTTTTATGCCTATTTTGCAGTCCCTGGACTATAAATTAAGAGTAAGGCAGTTTGTTAGAAGTAGTAGGGTCTAAGACATAGTACTTTTTAATCACTCAGACCTGTCCAGTCCACAATTTGCATATTAGAATATTGGGAGGCATTTTGTTTGACACTTTCCACCCTGGACTGAATAACTATTAAAGATAGAATGTCTTCAGGGGAATCAAAATGGCTGCAAATTATAACTGACGAAGTGACGAAGGTAGGAAGAGTATAAAGAAATGACCACCTTGATTGGTGTGTAGAGACATAAGCAGATGCTGATCAAGCTCTGTGCTTCCAACAACAGCAACAACAACAACTTGCACTTATGTAGAGTTCTCCACGCATCAGTGCGTCTCAGAGCGCTTAACAATGGCGGAGCCTGACTCCGAGCTGGTGGGGGGGAAGGTGACCATAAGCACGGTCGAAAAGGAAAGTTTTCAGGCGGGACTTGAAAAAGGGGAGAGAGGGGGCAAGGTGGAGGGATTGTTCCAGAGTTTTGGGGTGTAGTGGCTGAAAGCATGATCTCCGATGGTGGGGCAGAGGTTGCAAGGGATGAGCAGGAGGCCAGTGCCAGTCGAACGGAGGCGCCGGTTGGTGGATTGGGGAGTGAGGAGGTCAGAGAGGTAGGGAGGTGTCAAAGAGTGAATGGATTTGAACACAAGTGTGAGGATCTTGAAGTTGACTGATGGAACTGTTGCACAATGGGTAAGAACATTTGTTTGAGCAGTGGGCAATGAGTGCTGCTCACCAGAGAGCTTGGGATTGCCTGGTATCTGCTATCAACCAAGTGAGGGCTCAAACTGCACTCGTTGTTGGATGTCCAACTCTTGACTATCTAGTTGAGCTGGCTCCAAGGTGACGTGCTTGGCAACAGAATGGTAGAATTGAGTCAAACTTCTTGTGGCAGTCTCAGTAGTCCAATTTCTGAGTCGGCCAGGTATGCAGTCCCCCTAGGGCAGTCCTGTTTGGCAGGACTTGGAGGGGCAGACTGGGGCAGGGATGTTTCTCATTTGCCCTCTGTTAATTCTGTAAGCCAAAGCTCTAATGGATAGGATGGTCCCAGCAACAAAAAGCTTGCCAGACAATGATGAACTAGTAGCTGGTTACACTCCCAGTGTACCTCTAAAACGCACATTTAGGAGCCTTGGCTCTCGCCCACGGTCCTAATACCTTCTTGGAATTAAGTAAGCAGGGTAGGGTGTATCCCTCCAAAGAGAGAGTGCACACTCCATTCCAGACATAGAAAAGTTTAGAAAGTTGCCAATGATATGTGGAATGCTCATTATGGTTTGGCTACTATTATAAGCATGGTGATGGGTTTCCACATGTGTAAGAATGACCAAAATAAAGAAGCAACCTAAGTGGGCAAAAAAAAAGCAGCTCAATAAGGGTGACTTGAGAAAAGGGTAGCGATGGCCCAAGGGAAGCATCCCTGCCTCCGTTATGGGCGCTGCCTTGTTGTCTCGATCTTTGGTTATGCACCTCATTTTGTTTCACTGTTGAAGACGGAATCCCTAGTTGGGGTGACGCTGTGTTTGGATATGCCAATGAAAACTGCCTCTTTAATTCGGTCGGGAGGCAGCGGCACTTCCTGGTTTACCATCAGTTTAACTATGGAATTCATAATGAGCCAGTGCCTTGAAAAGGTCAGCAAAGCTGGGCTGCAAATGCTCCTTTCATACAGTGCAACAAGAACTTATTTCTAAATCAACAGACACCACTTGAGGTGTCTTGTCACAGCCTGTGTTGGAAGCACTCAGTCAGCACTGTACGTTTAAAGGAACTGGAAGAACACTCGTACTCTAAGCAATCATTGCCAGTACCTCTCTGCTAACAAACAAGAAATGCCCCTCTTTTAATCATTTACCTACACGTGATAACATTGTTTACTGGCTGGGGGCTGGAATATGAGGGGAGCTGGGAGGTGTGCTCACTGGCCAGTTAACACCAATCCAAGGAATAAAGTAAATGGGAGTGGGGGAGAGGAGGAGAAAAGTCCTTCTGATTGTTTTCATGCATGTCTGCTTGTGAGATTCTCTTCCCGATTAGATTATAATGATATAAAAGGTCTGCACTCTCTGACTAATGATTACAGAGCAGGAAGACTCTGGGACGAACATGAAAGGAAAGCAGGCACTCGGGGGATGAAATCTGAATCCACTCTCTCAGGGTTTAGTGGATTGGCACTCTACCTCTGCATGCCAGAGGGATTTTTAATTGACTGCTGTAAAGTTTCCGCATGTGACGGGAGCTACAAGTCAAGTGAAAGTCAGTTCTCCTTTTGACCGAATATTTTCCACCTTAGTCTCACTACTGTAAGCAGTGAGCGATGCACACAGACTGCAGAGCTGAAGCTATGCCTCACTGAGAGATTTTAAATAATCTCCTACCCACCCCAGATAATCTACCACTACATTGAGGACACTAATGGGATTTTTAGGCTGCTCTTCATTGTCCAATTGCATGTAAACTGTTGTCGTTTAATCCCTCCCCCACCCCCCTTGAACTTGATAATCATAATAACTGTTCCAGTTTGAAGAGTAACACATGTGGATACCGTATGCAGTGCAGCCTGAACTCAGCACTCTGCAATGCCTGAGAATAAGAATATCATATTCTGCACTACCAGTGCTTTAACATACCCCACTTTCCTCCCTAAAACCACCTACAGGAAAATTAAGCGATGCTTCAGCTTCAGAAAAGGTAAGTGTCTGCAGGATGATTGTTTGATTTCACAGTTTATATGAGATTTCAGTTTTGATTTTCGTCTATTGCTTGTGTTGCTGATGTGTATGAAATAGTAAGTGTGTGTTTGTGGTGTGCGTGTGTGGGTTTGCACGCACCGGTTTAAGCTGCTGCTTCTGTAGTTGAATGGTTCGGTTAGGTAAAAGATGCTTTGTGGTCAGTTGAAATTGTGTTCTCTATGCACAATATGGATATTGCTATGAAAAGATAATTTGAAAAGTACAGCCATCAATTTATTTTTGTGTGTGAATTGCTAAGTAGCTGCCTGCTGATCAGAACATACATGTGCGCGCGTACCTGTGTCCGCACATAAACATGGACACATGGGGTCCAGTAGGAAGCACTTTATAACAGGATGCAGTCACGGGAAAATCCTGCTGGTAATTGGCAGCCTGTCAGTCAAATCATGGGATCACCAATATCTGCTTTTGGTACTTTGGAGCAGAAATTCCTCAAGTCATCTGTGTGTTACCAGTTTTGGCAGGATTCCCTTATGGCTACTCTTGAGTTAATATTACAATAACAAGATTACATTTGTATAGCGCCTTTCATGTCAGGAGGACGTGCCAGTGTACAGCATTTCAGACCCGAGCTGGGGTCAGGGGGGGGAGAAGGGAGGGGAAGGGGGGTGGCCGATGGCATGGTCGAAGAGGAGGGTCTTGAGGTAGGACTTGAAGGAGGCTAAGAAGGGGGAGAGGCGGAGTGACTGGGGGATGGAATTCCAGAGGTTGGGGGCAGAGTGGCTGAAGGCTTTCCGGCCAATGGTGGGGTGGGTGCGTCGGCGGACGTGGAGCAGGCCAGAGCCGGCTGAGCGGAGGGAGTGGACGGGTTGGTAGGGGGTTAGGAGTCACAGATGTAGGGTGGGGCGAGGCCATGGAGGGCTTTGCAGGTGAGGACCAGGGTCTTGAACTGGATCCCCTGAAGGATAGGGAGCCAATGGAGTCAGGCAAGAATGGAGGAGATGGGGTCACGGAGTTTGGTGCGGGAGAGGACCATCTGCAATCTGTGGAGGGAGGAGTTGGGAAGGCCGACAAGCAGGGTGTTTGCATAGTCGAGCCTGGAGGTGATGAAGGCATGAACAAGAGTTTCAGCGGCCTGAAGGGTGAGGCAGTTGGGCAATGTTACAGAGGTGAGGGAAGGCAGATTCCTGTTGCAATTTGAATGTTTTTTCACCCCATTGTATGCTAAAGATTTTAGAAATTGGAAATTTTCAACACTCAGGTAGAGGGAGGTCTAACTTGTGAGATTTGTAAAAGGATTTGTAAATAGTCTTGCACATTGTAATTTATGTTAACTAACAACAACAACAGCACCTTGGATTTATATAGCGTCCTCCATGCTGGACGGCGTCTCAGAGCGCTTCACAGTAACGGATCCCAGGGCCGAGCCAGGGGGAGGGGGAGGAAGCTGACCAAAGGAGCAGTCGAAAAGAAAGGTCTTCAGCCGAGACCTGAAAATAGGAAGAGAGAGAATGAGGCGAAGGGAGTGAGGAAGGGAGTTCCAGAGCCTCGGGGCATAGTAGCTGAAGGCACGGCCGCCGAGGGTGGAGCGGAGCACGCGGGGGACAAGGAGGAAGAATGCCATGTGAATGCTAAATTCCTTACCAGGTGCATAACTTGACCATAATTCTTTGACTAAAATTTGACTTCAATGAAATCGAGATTGAAAATGGTATTCAAGTGGCTTTCCAGAGAGGATTAGTTTCAGACCCATCGCTGGGTATCAGCAAGACTCACTATTTGCAAATCTTTTCAGCAATCGTACAAATCAAACCCCATTTTCTCTCAGTAAACATTGGTTCAGGGTATCCTTAGGGGTGTTTGTTTGCGTGTTTTAACCATTTGGATTGGAATGGTTAGTTCCTTTGACATTACCCTATGAAGCACTGCTATCCTGCAACTGTTACTTTCTCAGCTGTAATCTCTGTAGAAGTTGTTTACTGGAATTGGGTAACCTGGTTTTGTTCCTGACTCAATAGGTATCTTTGGCCAGAGGCTGGAAGACACTGTACGGTACGAGCGTAGGTATGGTACTCGCATGGCACCAATGCTTGTGGAGCAGTGTGTAGACTTCATCCGCCAGAGAGGGCTGAAGGAAGAGGGTCTCTTTCGACTACCCGGTCAAGCGAATCTGGTCAAGGAGTTACAGGAGGCCTTTGACTGCGGTGAGAAGCCGTTATTTGACAGGTAAGGAAGTGCAGCTTTCTGTTTGTGCCATGGTATTATTAATCTTTGTGGATTCAAGTACTTTTAGGAAACATTTTGAAGTAGACATTTGTGAGCCTTTCAATGTCTGGTTGAATCAGCTTTAAACATCGTCTATTCCTAATACCCTAACTTTGCAGCCTAAACTTTCCTTCACTTGTAAACACCCACAAGAGACGTCCCAGCTTGCATTGGTTGGCAGCAACATTTGATTCACAGGAAACAGCTACTTCAGCTCCAAACACAATGCAATTTTTATGGGAAAATTGTTTGACCCTAATGTACATCCAGTAGCAGTTGGCAAAAGGTTTATGAGTCTGCGATGGTATTTATGAATACACATAATACTTTTATGGGCCTTTTAAACCAAAACATTTTGTTTTTCCTGCTCATTATCCAGTACAGCAGTTACATCCCATTCGTTTGAAACAATTTACTAGTTTACATTAAGCAACTTGTTTAAGCATTCTTCTGTAACTGCCTTGGAGACTGCAGTAAAAGCCTATACCAGAGAGAGACTGTTCTAAACCCATTATGAGACATCGTACTGATCCAGGCAGCTCCATTGTATTGCTCAAGGAGATTGCAAATGAGAAGATGATGGTGACTTTCCGATGGATTAGTTTTGAAAGCTCTTCCAGCTAATAAGATTTCAAACTGTACTGCAAGCCATTCAGTCCACGTCTCCTACAAGCATTGTACTAATTTCTGTACTAGATTAAAGTATTCACCATGATAAAGCATGAAAAGGGCTTCAGACTGATTTGATGAACAGACTGAATGTGATGGAAATTCATGCCATTTCAACTTGTGGGCTCCCTTCCGACCCACCTAATTATCTTATTGCTGAGCATAGGTCTGCCTTATTCTCTGATAGAAAAGCAGAGCATTTAATAAATAATAGATAATAAATATTTAATAAAAAAGCAGGTAGGAGAACAATGCAGGGCTATGGTTACTGACTTTGCTCCCTCTTCTCCTCTTTCCCCTTCATTAACCCTGGAAGTGACAGGTCTTTAAAAAAGGTGAAACTGATCCCTGTGTTATTACCTCAGGAGTCAGCATTTTTATGTGTAATGCTGGCTTTAACAAAATGAATAATACTACAACACCCCACCCTGTAAAACCTTATAGTGTTTAAGCATGGATTAATTGGATTTAGAAATATTTTGACAAATAGCTTTGAGGCATAGCAAAGATATAAGAGTCTGTGTGGTGCAATGTTGGAGACAGTTAAGTAAGGAGATATTAGAGAGAACAGTAGAAACAGTCAGCTACACATGGGACATCTGCAGAGAATGCTGTAATTGTTCAAGTTTGGGACAAGATGGTTCACCAAACCAGATGGGCTCCTGAACAAGCAGAAGCAAACCACATCAATCATTGCTGACAGAAAATTGCCTGTAATTTAATAAGTCGGTTAGTGACATACTCAACTGCAAAGGGAATAGGAGTTATTATAGGAAAATCTTTTGATCCCAGTTAAATGTATTAATCCAGTTCATTGTGATAAAATAACTACTGTATATTTTGCATGCAGAAAAAAATAGAAAATAGTTCAATACAAATTTACATTTATATAGCTCCTTTCACATGGCGAGAATGCCTCAAGGTGCTTAACAATCCTGGCTTGGTACACAAGCTGGGGTTGGAGCTGATGGGAGTGGGGAGGGGAAAGATGATCAAAGTGTGGTCAAAGAGGAAGGTCTTGAGACAAACGTTGAACAAGGTGAGGGAGCAAGCAAATTGGAGGGACTCCGGGATGGATGTGATGCACCTAATGCAGTGCTCAACAGGAAAATGACATGACAGCTAGCCATGAATATTCTGATGGTCATTAATATCTATGCATTCTGGCTAAAGTGTACATAATGTCCATTGCCAAGGTAACATCTTGTAATGTACTTTCAGACTGACATTTGCAAACGCTCTAAATCTGATCTGAACCTTCTTTGGATCAGTTTTGTTGCCTGTGAAGGGTGCTGAAAGAGACCAAACTATATCTTTCCAGTTGACTTGTGCAGGTAAACCCAGACCACTGTATCCAATTATAAGTCCATTGGCAGTGGTGACTGTGTCGCCGTGACACATGCACAGTGTGCTGCCATGCCCCAAGACACAATGTACTGTTCAGTCAAGATTTCCAATGGTTTATATCACAGTTAATCATATCCATAGTGCAGAGCCCTTACTAAAATTCAGCCCACTCTGAGTTAAACATAGCTCCAAGCAGACCTGCTTTGACCCAAACTCAAACCAGACTGATTTCAGCAAAGAACAGTTCAAGCGCAGCAAGAGAGATGCTGTGCAAGAGCATTAGTTTGCTGATGCTTGAAACTATTCCTGTCATAGTCTGAAAAATGGTTCTGAGTGTGGCATCATGTGATTCATTGCACATATGCATCAGATTGGATTAAACAAGCCGCAGATTCTAATGATTACAATCCTTGCTCTCCTAATGCGTATTTCTGACTGTCTCTAACAACATTTCACTGCTCCACTATAAGATTATGGCTTAGCTAATGTATAAACCCTCCCGTCACACATTGTTAAGCAAGTTTTCTTAAGTTAATAAGGCATCTTTGATGCTGATTTCTATTTCTCATTTAACCTATTGTGTCCCTTATGGGGCACCTCACTAAGAAGGATGGCAAGGCCATATAGAGGGTGCACAGGAGATTCACGGGGATGATCCCATAGAGGAGATTGTGTAGTGGTAATGTTAGACAAGAAAACCCATGGATTCAAATCTCGCTATGGCAGTTGTGTAATTTAAATTAAACAAAATTGGTAATTTGAGCTTCCAGCAGTTTTTACAACAATAATGCTGTATTATTGTAAAAACTTAATTGGTTCACTAATGCCATTCGGGGAAGAACATTGTCTGTACACAAAATATTTTTGTTCTCAAAATATACGGTCAATTCACTACAGTGTAATCTTTGAAGCACTTTGAGACATCTCAAGGATGTGATAATAATAATAATAATCCTTGCATTTGATATAGCGCTTTTCATGTCGGGAGGACGTCCCAAAGCGCTTCACAGAATAAACTGTAAAGTGAATTGACTGTATATTTGTGGGCAAACGCGGCAGCCAATTGCGCACAGCAATGTCCCACAAACAGTCGTAGATTGAAAATAACCAATTTATTATTGTTTTTAGTTTTGGAGGGATTATTATTAGGCGTGTGGAGTAAGGAAACTTGCCCAAGGTTTCGCCCTCTGCCTGGAATTGAACTCAGGTCTCTCACTTGCAAAGCGAGTGCTCTAACCACTGAGCCACAGGACTCCACAGTCCAGTCAATAAGACATTATATCAAATGCAAGGATTATTATTACACTGGACATTGGATCTGCCACCCATGGTCAGGATGGTCTTAAGCATGATAATGGTTTTGCATATGTGTCAGACATCTAGCTGATCTAAAAATAATACGTCTTCAGTTCCATATTACTTGGTTGTTTTTACTGTCCTCTGAAATGACGTAGCAAGCCATGGCACTGGTTTAAAGAGAAAGGCAACTCCACCACTTTCGCAAGGCAATAAGTGTTGGCTCTGCCAGCATTATCCACATCCTGAGATGAGTATTTTAAAAAAAACAAGGTTTTGCTTTAAATGTGAGAAAATGGGGCTTTTTTCTCTAGATCAGAGGAGATTGAGAGGAGACTTGATAGAGGTGCCTGTCCTTATAAAGGGTTTGACGAGGTAAAGAGGGAAAAATGATATCCACTGCTCCATCAGTGGTCGAGATCTAGAGAGCAGAAATGTTAAGATAATTGCCAAAATAAAAGGAAGTGATTAGGGGAATATTTTTATGCAGAGAGTTGTTAGGATGTGGATGCCCTACCTGGACCCGTAGTTGCTGCAGAATCCATGCAAGCCTTCAGAACCATAGAACTATAGAAATTTACATTACAGAAGAATGCCATTTGGCCCATCGTGTCTGTGCCGACTCCCTCAAAAGCAGAATTAAATTAGCAGGTGGAATTGAATAAATACCTGAAAAGAAGAAATATTAAATGGTGCTTAGAAAAAGCAGGAGGATGGGAGGAAATTGATAGCTCTTTCAGAGTAAGTACAGGTACGATGGGCAGGCTAGTCTCAATGTGCTGTAACTTTCCATGGTTCTAGGTTATGTTTTCCTGCATTATTTGACCATGAGATTAATGATTGACTTTTTTGCCCCATCCACTGGTCACAGGACAAAAGGACCAGATGTTCAGGGTTCCAACTTTAGGATAGACACCAGGAAGTATTTCTTTACACAAGGGAAAGCAACAGCCTAAAGGTTGCCAGGAACGGTGGTTAATAATAATAATAATTAATAATAATAATCCTTGCATTTGATAGAGCACTTTTCACGTCTTCTAGACGTCTCAAAGCGCTTCACAGAATATACTGTAAAGTGAATCGACTGTATACTTGTGGGTGAAACGCAGCAGCCAATTGTGCACAGCAGCGTCCCACACACAGTCGTGAATTGAAGTGACCAATTTTAATAATCCTTGTATTTGATATAGTGTTTTATCACGTCTTTGAGACATCTCAAAATGCTTCACAGAATATACTGTAAAGTGAATTGACTGTACATTTTATGGGCAAAACACAGCAGCCAATTGCAGACATCAATGTCCCACAAACAGTCATGGATTGAGTGAACAATTTTTTTAAAGGCATTATTACTCCTGGAAAAGCGATCCGTCAATCGACTGACAACCGGGTTCCTACTTACTGCTAGGTAAACAGAGGCAAGTGGAGTAAGGAAACTTGCCCAACATTTCGCCCTGCCTGGGAATCGAACCAGGTCCTCTCGCTTGTGGAGCGAGTGCTCCTACCACTGAGCTACAGGACTCTACAATGCCAGGACAATGTACTCATTTAAAACATCCTGATGCTGTAATCAGAAGATGATAGTGTGGGTGTCCTGTAAGGCTGAGATCTGATAGACCAAAGAGCTTTCTTCAACCTAACCTCTCCCC